GAGGATCGCCTTGAGGCTCAAACTGGGATGTTTGACCTCCCAGACATCATCAAGAACAGTTCCCGCAGTGATCTTCCCTCAACCTGTTCGGGAGTATGGCTGTCGCCCATAAGTTCCCCAGAAACGTTCAATAATCACAATTTCCCCTTCATGCTTCACGAAGTCTTAGTTGGTCTCGCGCTCACACCGCTGATGACTTCACCGACCGCTTGAAACGCACTACTGATTTGCACGAGGATCGCGCTCCCGCCGAATCAGACGCGTGCTGCCCCTGTGCCACCCCCCACCCGTAAAAAACCGTCGCATTCGCCCAGCCGCGAACATCCAGTGTCTACTGTGGGCCCCACCTCTCTTCTCTCCCCCCCCCTGACTCCTCCCTCCTCCCCGTTGCTTCCTCCCTCCTCCTCCCTCCTCCCCTCCATTCCACCTTCCCTCCACTCCCTCCTCCTCCCTCCCTCCCTCCATTCCTCCCTCCCTCCCAACCTCCACTCCCTCCTCCTCCTCCACTCCCTCCTTCCTCCCTCCTCCTCCCTCCTCCCCGTTCCCTCCACTCCGCCTTCCTTCCCACCATCCTCGTGACCTGATTTCCTGCCTCCCTCCTCTCATGCCCCCCCCCTCTTCCCGAGCATGCCTCCGCGGACCCACCCCGACCCGCCCGCCCGAGGGCCCATCCGACCCGACACGATCCGACCGCCCGAGTTAGGTGGTAGAAGGATTTGTTTGCGTCGGCGGCTAGGCAGGGGACGTCTGCGCTGGCGATGGATCGTGCCTAAATGGGGATGCCGTTAGAGCGAATTGTGCCACCATGCAAAGAGAAGGAGCGGGGGGGGCGCGGCTCCAATCCGACCGCCGGGCTCGAGGCCCGCCCGTGTCTTCCGAGCGGCCCGTTCAGGTCTGCACGACTGCTCGCACGTCGAAGGTCGCCCGTCCCCGCAAGGTGCAGAGTCCCCTAGAAGCACGGGGTACATGTAGTCGAAGACGAGGAGGGCGGATGTCGGGGGCTTGGGGCATACATGCTGGGTCGCTCACAAGCAGCGCAGCCTTATTGTAGCAGCTGTTATCGTAATAACCTATGCTGGGTGCATGTAGAAGCGTATTGCAATCAGTGCCAGCATCTTCAGCAGGGAGCCAATGTAAGCCAGAGGGCAGCAGAACCACCCTCATAAAAGAAGACCTCGGCAGGCGAAGCCCTTCAGTAAACAAACTGGGCGAGGGCAATTTGGTCAACGGCCTGCTTATCAAACGCCAAGTATGGGGGGTCGCGGTGGTTTCCCCTTCTGCTGAACCCTCAACGTCATCGTCGACGAAAGGAATGCGGCCGTCGAGGGGCACACCTCGATCGAGAAAGATGGGTGGGCACCGAGGCGGGGGGCATCCAGAAGTATGATTCAGGGCGGAAGGTTCAAACAAGACTCTGCACGCGCGGAACCTTGCTTCCACACGCACGCCCTGACAGTGCAAGATCGTTCGACACCCCTCTTCCTGACCGCCTGACTGCACGACCCGCCAGCAGCACCATGCGCCCCAGAGACAGAGACGGCCCACCAACGCCATCCCCCGAGGCGACGCCACGCGGTTTGTGGCATTGGCGGGCGATTGGCTGTTGGAACTCTCCCACCTTGACGACCGGCATCTTGCACGCCTCTGCCAGCAGCTGGCACTGCCGCTCCACCCCGGACCCCGTGGGGCCGGTCACGAGGACGCGCACGCGAGGTATTGGCGGCTCCCCGCTCGACGGCACGTACTTGGACGGCTCCGCCACAAACTTGGCGCTGGCCGCCTCGTTCGCGAGCGCGTACACCTTGTTCTTGTACATGTGCTGGTTCGCCTTCTGGCCCGGGAAGAGCCAGTCGTCCTCCTTCAGCGTCACTGGGCAGTATGGCCCGCAGACGCCCCAGGGGATGGTCGGGCGCCTGGGCAGCTCCAAGGGGTCCGGGGGGGGCTCCCCCTCCTCGGGCTCCTCGGCCGGCGGCTCCTCCCACTCGTCTGGGTCTGGGATCTCGTCTGCCACTTCGGCGTCGTCCGCGACCTCGTAGAATGGGTCGATGGCCTTCTGAATTTGGATGAACTGCTCGTCCTCCGTCGCCTCCATGGCCACGTCCGAGAGCTGCAGGTCCTCGAGGGCGGCGAGAGACTCGAAGCCCGCGGCCTGCGACTCCAGGTGCGACTCCATCGGGGCGTCCTGGCCAAATCCGAGCTCCGCCAGGATCTCCGCCGGCTCCTTCGGCTCCTCCTCCGCCATAGGCTTGACGACGAGCACGCGCTCGATCTCCAGCCGCAGCTTGCTGCGCAGCAGCTCGAGCTGCTCGGCGGACCCGGGGAAGCCCGTGAGCACGAAGCCTCTCGGCGGGACGAGGAGGGGCTCGGACAGTGGGATGACAGGCTCGCCCTCCTCGTCCAGCTCGTACTCCGGAGCGGCTGGGCCCGCGTCGCCCTCCTCGGCATCCTCCGGGGGCTCTCTGGCGGCGAACTCCTCCAGGACCCGCTTGGCCTCGGCGATGTCGTCCTGCTCTTGTGGATGCCACGACGCTGGACACCCTAACAGTCCGATCACTGAATCAAACATGTGTTTGATAAAAATTTGAATTATGCTCTAAACGTGTTTGCACACAAGTTCTGGGACATGTTTAAAACATGTGATAGACATCTGGAACATATTTCGCGGCATGCTTCCTCCCCATCGATCGTCGCCCACAGTCCTGCTGCTTCTGCAGGATGGCCGTGTTCTTCGCGATGCCGAGCGCCTCCCCGACGAGGCGCGCCAGCGTCTCCGCGCCGAGCGGCGCGCCTGCGAGGAGGGCCGCCTTCTCGGCGACGAGCAGTCTCGGAGCGCCCGGCTCCTCCTCGTCCTCCTCGCGAGCAGGGAGGTGGATGGAGTCCAGAATTCGTGTGGGCGTTTTCTTATTCGGCGCTTCGACATCGGGCGGAAAGGAGGGGGGGGGGAGGGGGGGCTCTGGCTCCAGACCGCTGCCCAGTGCGACTGTGTTGCAGCAGGGCGCCCTACAGGGGGTTGGAGGCTCCACCTGCTCGAAACAGGCGCCCAAACAGCCAAGATCCACTCCACGGCGGGGGGGAAAGGGGGGGTGCGAGGGCCCGCGCCGATCGGCAAAACAATGGATAAGAAAACGATCGCATTCCTTTGCCCGGGATTTTGTTTTTTGATTCGTCGAGCCCATGGAAAAGACCAAAAGCAGCGCTTCTCTCGTAGATTCGACGAGGAGACCAGTCTTGTTGGGGCAAGTTTGGGTCGGGCGTGTCCTCCTCCAGGCGGAACTTGGAAGAGAAATGGAAAAATAATAAGATCTGTTCCAACAGAATCAGGAATTGTCGGAACATCGTCCCCAGACTATTTTTTTACTATTTCTGAACATTCGTCCTGTAGAGGGACACGCCCGAATTAGTCGGGGGCGGCCAAGAGGGGGGCGTCCAAGAGGGGGGGGGCGCAAATCATGGCCGGCGGCATGTGCGCGGCCCAAGGGGGCGCCAGGGACGTCATGAAATCAGACGAGGCGCCATGAAATCTGGGGAGGTGCGCGTTTTCTTATTCGGCATTTCGACATTGGGCGGATAGGGGGGAGGGAGGGGGGTCTGGCTCCGGACCTCTGCTTAGCGCGACTGTTTGCAACAGGGCGCCCATTATGGGGGAGACCCCGCCCGCCTGAAACAGGCGCCAAGATCTACTCCATGTGGGGGGGGCAGGGAGGGGGGGAGGGTGCGAAGGCCCGCGCCGACCGGCTCCGCAATGAATAGAAAACGATCAGGCGATATCGTGGCCCACGCCATGACACCCCCCACCCCCTAGTCATCGCCTCCCTCTTTGCCGCCCCCAAATCCATAAGAGCAAGTCATTTTCTGAAGGGGCCCTTGGACACACAAATAAACACACACAAATAAAAGGATTCCACATATTTTCCTATATTTTCTGGGTTTTTGTCTTCCCCCCCACTTCCCATATTTTCCCATACTTTCTTGGAAGTCGACGATTAATTGTGTCTGTGTGTTTATTTCCCTCCTGAACTTCTGCAATCGATCCCCTGCCCGATCCTCTGGCGCTGGCGTCCGAGGCCGCTCCTGGCCCCCCTCACCCTCGACCTCCTGCGGCGGCAGCGGGGGCTGGTCGCTCGCCTTGAGCTGCACAGCCCTCTGCACGAGCGCCGCGACGTCCACGACGTCGAAGCCATACCTGGAAAACGACAGCCCGCCACAAACGTAAATTTCTGGCGCTCCAGGGGGCCTCTTGGATCTGCGCGGGGCCCCCCTCCCTGGCGGGGCGCGCCAGGGGCGGCGCCGCCAGGGGCCCCCAGTGCGGGTCCAAGAAATCCGCGCGGAGCGCCAAAAGTGTTTGCTTATGGCGATTATCCTTCTTCGGATACCGCTCCGACACGCGCGCGGCGAGCTCCGGGACACGGAAGCCCATCGGGCTCAGCAACACATAGCCGAGGTGCATGCCGGGGGCGTTGATCCTGGGGAAACCAAAAGACCAAAAGGTACGGATCTCGCAACTCCTCGGACCTCTCCTGGGGTGCGTTCTGACCAGGATTTCGAGAATCCAGCTGTGGCGACGAGGGCCTCCCAGGAGGCCCAAAAAGGGGAAAAAGAGGCAAGGGTAGAGGTATGGGTACCCGTTCCTCCTCTGAGATCCTGGGGGCGTCCGTCAGGAAGAGCTTCGGCCACGCGCAGAAGCGGCGCTGTGCCGCCGCGCTGCTGAAGCAGAAGGCATACCCTGCGTACTCCGCGGCGAACTCCTTGCCCCCCGGCACCAGCCTCTTGTCGTACAGGGCCACTGGGCAGTGCTGCCTTTAGGTCGGGCATGTCCTCCTACAGGGGGATATCGGAAGAAGCACAAAACAATTGTCAAAATGTCCAGAAATAGCCAGCAATAGTCAACACATCGTCTCCATACAAGCTTTAACTATTTTTGAATCTTCTTCCTGTAGAGGGACATGACCGACTTAATGCTGCCTCCACTGCGACCAGCGCCGGCTGACCTGCTTCTCGTCCAGGTCCAGCCTCAGGAGCTCCTTCGGCTCCTCGGCACCCTCGCCCTCCAGCATCTTCGGCAGCGGTGCCCGTGGGCACCTCAGTTGGCCCGCCGCCACTTCCAGCAGGTCGGCCACCTCGGACGGCGGTCGACCATCGGCGCGCAGGCTGAGCAGCGGGACCTCCTGGTCAACGTGCAATATTCGAACGGCATCCTCGTGGCCCTTTGCCAGCGCCTCGTCATCTGCTGGCTCAGGCTGCGGGTCCAGCGACACCTCGGGAATGGGGGGCAGCGCCTTCGGCTGCTCCAGCGGCGGGGCTGGCACGAACTCCGCCATCGTCCTGAGCACGTCGCCGGCATTCTTGTCGAACAGCTCCTCTCGCTCCTCTTCCTCCTCAGGAAGCGCAGGCTGCTCCGCGGCTTCCTCCTCTTCCGCGTCCTCGTCCTCCACCTCCTCGCCTGCTGCCTCCAACTCCTTGCGGCGCCTGGCCTTCTCCTCGTGCTGCAACTTCAGCAGCACCTGCTTCCACCCGGCCAGCTCGTCGGTCTCCGCCGACAGAACAAGTAATCTCCGAGGCATGGAGTTGGCCAGCGGGTTCGGCACCAACACCGGCGGCGGCGGCGGCGGCGGCTCCGCGGGTCCCTCCTCGCCGTCTGGGCTGCCCTCCTGCTTCGTGCTCGGCTGGCCACCCTACGGGCAAGCGGGGTCCAGGACGCACACTCCCCAGGCCCCCAAAAGACGAGTAGGCCAGCATCACCTCGTGAACAATACCCCCCCAAAAGCCAGCCCAATGTTGACTGGGGGGTCTGTCTGGCTGTCCTTAGCCCGCTAGCCTTCGGGGTTGCCAACCGACCACCACGACTTCCGCCATCGTCGAAGAGCACATGACGTCCCGACCAAGACTCACGGCCGGAGCGATAGACCCCACCATTCCCCGTGCACGTGCTGCAGCACCGCCGCTCTGCGGCGCTCGCCAGGCCCCTCCTCGCAGGCACAGGGGCCCGCAGACCGCGAAGACCCGCGAGAACGCCAGGACACCCGCAGCACGCTCGGGACACTCAGAGACCTCCGAGCACAGCGGCGGATGCCGCCGGCCCGCATCCGAAGGAGGCGCGGTCGGGCAGGCTGCCAAGGCCCTGGGCGCCCACCTTCGAAGCTCGGCGAGCGGGGCGCGGCCCACGAAGGCGGCCAAGGGATGGACCGAGGAGGCGAGGGTGAGGGGAACGAAACATGACATACAGGGCAGTTGTTAATACATAGGATTTTTAGAAATATTGGATTTCTCATACATGATTAATGGATGAATAAATGTATGCATGAACTCATCGTTGTTTCTAATACTAAATCCCTGCATGTTGAATACATGATCCGCACGCGGAGCATGTATAAACAACGGCGCTGTAAGCACAACAAGAAACTCGGAGGTCAGCGCGGATTTCTTGGACCCGCGCTGGGCCCCCCTCCCTGGCGCGCGGAGCGCGCCAGCGGCGCGCCGGGAGGCGCCGCCAGGGGGCCCCAGCGCCGATCCGAGAAATCCGCGCGGACCTCCGAGCTATCATGTTCGTGCCATTCTTCGTTCCCCTAAGGATGCGAGGGTGCCTTTGGGAAGGTTGCCCACCCTTGCCATGAGACAGTTTTTTGGGAATCGGCGATAACCCGGGTTATCCCGGGGGGGGGGGAGGAGGGGTCTGGCCGATAACCTAACCCTCGCGCTGTGGGCAGCCCTGCATATGCCCGCGCGCCACCCTCCCTCGGACCTGCACAACCGGCCAGGTTAGGTTGTCCTGGGGGGGGGGGGGGGGGGGGGGGCAAGCCCGATAACGCGGGTGATCGCCCGACCCTAAAAAAAACAGCTTCCGTGCGGGTTGGCTGTAGCTCGGCGAGGAGGACGTCGGGAAGCCTCCCGCGGCGCTCCTGTTCCTCCCGCGGCTCCGCCTCGCCCTCCGCGGCCTCGCCGCCCGCCTCGCCCTCCGCGCCCTCGCCGGGCCCGCCCGCGGGCGGCTCGTCAGCGGCGCCCGCGCCGCCCGCCGCCGCCTCGCCGCCCTCCTCCTCCTCCTCCTCCTCGCCGCCCTCGGCCGCGTCGTCCTCCGCGGTCGCGTCCCCGCCCTCGCCGCCTGGCGGTGGCTCGGAAGGGGGCGGGGGACAGGAGGAGGGGAAGAGGGGAGGAGGGAGGGGGAGGGGGGGGTAGGAGGCAAGAGGCGGAGGGATTAGGAGGCAAGAGGCGGAGGGATGGACAGTGGGAGGAGGGAGGGGGAGTGAGGGGGGGAGGGGGAGAGAGGAACGGGGACGAAGCAGGAAAGAGTATGAGGAGGAGGAGGAGGAGGAGGAGGAGGAAAAGGAGGAGGAGACGGGAGAAAATGCAGGGCGGAGCGGGGAGAGAAGACAGGATGAGGAGGGAGGCGGGGGAGCTCGTGGAGGATGTGGAAGTGGTGGGAGGGGGGATGCGGGGGAGGTGGGGAGGTGAAGGAGGAAACAGGAGGGCAGAGGGTGGAAGCAGAGGGAGGACGGAGGAAGGATCCCCCAGAACCGACTAACAAGACCCAACAAGCTCCTGAAGCCTTTGAAAGCCCCCCACCCCCCGAGGAGGACAAAAGGGGAAGAGATGAGGAGGTTGAGAGTGACTGGCCCTCGTTTTTTTTCTGTTTGAAGTCTCGCGAGAAAGGAGGAAGCGCCTACAGTGAAAAAAGGCGCCGGCTGTTAACGAAGCGCTTGCGACAAGGCAGAGGACGGGGGTCGGGAACACGAGCGGCTGGGTGGCATGGGGCAAGATGAGCGTGCTCGCTGGAGCCTTTCTTTGGCACTGCTGCGTCCACGGCCTTGGAATCCGAGGCCCAATGAAGAGCGCGAGGGGAAAGAGAGGAGGGGCGAAGACGACACCGAAAAGGGAGATACGGAGAGTTTTTGGAGGGAGGGGAGGATCACGAGGATGCCCGGGAGCGAGGACAGGAGGGACAGAAAACCAAAGTAGGATGCGAGGTGCAGGAGTTCGAGTGAATCGAGCGAGCGAGAGAGAAATAGAAGAGAGAGAGAGAGAGAGAGAGAAAAAAAAAAAAGAGAGAGAGAGAGAGGCACACAAAAACAGACAGAGAGAGAGGGAGAGAGATGGAGAGAGAGAGAGAGAGAGAGACGGCAAATCATTGAGAACGACAGGACTGGAAAAGCAGAGAAAGAGAGAGAAAGAGAGGAAGAGAGAGAGAGAGAGAGACGGAGTTAGCGTGTGTGAGAGAGAGAGAGAAACAAGAAGAAGAGAGAGAGAGAGAGAGAGAGAAAGAGTGTGAGACAGAGAGCACGAAAGCCAGAGCACACTAACCATATATATATATATATATATATATAGGTGTACCTTAGCACATATACAGAGATGTTTACCTGTATGTATGCACATATATATAGATATATATATATATATGTAGAGGGAGAGAGGGAGAGGAGAGGGGAGGGGGAATGGGAGAGGGGACTCTTCTGGCCCTCCCGGGCCTCCCTCTTCCTCGCCCTCGCCCTCCTCTGCGGGAGGCTCGGGCGGCTCTGGCTCGGGTGCGAGGGGCGGAAGCTGCACCTCGTCCCGCAGGAACGCCTCCCAGTCCACGGTCGCCGAGCCCGACAAGTCCCGGACCTGCGACACGCCGGGAAGATCGGCTAACACGAGCCCAAGGTCGGGGTGGGGCGAGGAGGGCCATCAGTGGGCGGGGGGGCTTCGGGACGGAGGGATGGGGACGGAAGCGAAGGGTCAGAACACAAGGGGCATGGTAGCGTGGTATGGCCCTTAGGGGAGGACAGCGCTGGGGAGAAGGGGGTCGGGTCAGGGGCGGAGGGGGCAATGAAGCAGGATGGGCCCCCTACCCTCCACATCAGCCCTCACACGCCCTCGCCACCTCTACTCTCGCTCTCTCGTCCCCCCTCTCTCGTCTCGTCGTCGGCTGCCGCGCCAATGTTTTTGAAGAGTGCTGGCCAGACGCGGCTACTAGAAGAAGCAGAAGAAGAACAAAAACGCCATATACATAAACTTTTGGCGCTCCGCGCGGATTTCTTGGATCTGAGCTGGACCCTCCTTCCTGGCGCGCGGAGCGCGCCCGGAGGCGCCGACGGGTGGGCCCAGCGCGAATCCAAAAAAATCCGCGCGGAGCGCAAACAGTTCATGTTTACGTATGGCGTTTTTCTTCTTCGAGCTACGGCCCGGCGGTTTCGCGGCCTCGTCTTGTCCCCTTTGGCTGCCGCGCCCATGATTTTGAAGAGTGCTGGCGCCAGACGCGGCTACGGCCCGGCCGTTTGCCCTCTCCACAGCGGCGGCAGGCCGCCACTGCCCAGGGCCGCCGCTGCCGGAGGCCCCCCCTCCGGCAGCCGCCCCTCCTCCTCCCTCCTACTCTCCCCTCCTCCTCCTCCTCTTCCTGCTGCTCCTCCCCTCCTCCTTTGTCTCCTCCCCTCCTCCTGCTGCTCCTCCTCCTCCTCCTCCTCCTCCTCCTCCTCCTCCTCCTCCTCCTCCCCACCTCCTCCGCCTCCTCCTCCTTCTTCTCCTCCTCCTCCTCCTCCTCCTCCTCCCTAGGCTCCTCCTCCTCCTCCCTCTCCTCCTCCTCCTCCTCCTCTTCCTCCTCCTCTCCTCCTCCTCTTCCTCCTCCTCCTCCTCCTCCTCCCCCCTCCCTTCCTCCTCCTCCTCCTGCCTCCTCCTCCTCCTCCTGCTCCTCCTCCTCCACCTCCTCCTCCTCCTCCTCCTCCTCTCCATTCCTTCTCCTTAAAGATCAATGCTCCCTGTCGCATCCCGAGGCCACTTTTTTAGGGCGGGCCAGGCGTTTCGCATGAGACTTCCTCACCACTTATGACTCTGAAGATTTAAACTTGACAACAGCTTCACAGATGGAGGGCGGGGGGGGTTCAAGATGTGGCTCTCGCCTTAGCGCCGCGCACACTCGTTTTTTACAAGTGCAAGGGCTTCACGGATTGAGGGCGAGTGGTTTTCAAAATGTGGCTCTCGCCTTAGTGCCGCGCACGCTCGTCTTAAACATTTGCAAGCGTTTGACGGATTGATGGCGGTTCCTTTAAACAATGTGATTCTCGCCTCAGCGCCATGCACTTTCGTTTTCAAGATATGTGCAGGGGGTTCACGGATTGAGTGCGGTTCCTTAAAAAATGTGGCTCTCGCCTTAGCGCCCTGCACAGTCGTTTAACGCATTGACAAGGGTTTCACGGATTCCCATGTTCAACGTACTAGAAATGGTGTTTTGCAAAGATTCTGGCTTATGAGGGTGCACAAGTTATATTGGTTCGCGGTGGTCAAGTCCCAGGAATGGCGTTCTGGCGCGATTCAGGATCGTCAAGACGCAACTGTCAGGTTGATCCGTGGCGCTGGAATCTCGAGAACAATGTTTTGGCATGCGTCAGGGTCTTCGAACAGATGTCTGCCAACAAAGCAGTTACCTCAGTGATAATGAACCGTTTTGGAGGGCCTATGTAGAGGGAGCTGGGAGGAAGGGTTGATTCCAAGATCGTTGATGCCTCTTGGGTTTACACTGGTCCTCCTCCTCCTGCTCCTCCTGCTCCTCCTCCTTCTCCCCTTCCTCCTCCTCCTCCTCCTTCTCCTCCTCCTCATGCTTCTCCTCCTCCTCCTCCTCCTCCTCCTCCTCCTCTTCCTCCTCCTCCTCCTCGTCCTCCTCCTCCACTCTTCTCTACCCTCCCTCCCCAGAGGAAGCATGCGCACACCCAACGGCGCGCGGACCCGCTGCACGAAGGCCGCCACGGCCTCGGAGTCCTCGGGCCGGACCGGCGGGAAGTCGAGGACGTAGCCGTTCGTCTTGCAGCGTGCGGACGTCATCAGCTCCTGGAGTTGTGAGGAAACTCCTGGAGGCCTCGCGCAGTAACTTTTTGTTTGTTATTAGCAACGCCGCCCCGCAGCGAGAAAAGGCCTCGCGCGGCAACTTGAGACCCGATTTGCGTCGGATCCAAGTCGGCTTTACTTGGGGTTCACGTCGGGCTATACGTCGGATCTACGTCGGACCGTCTCCGGAGCATCGCCGCGCAAGCGTGGACCCATGGCTTGCAGAACTGACGCGTGAACTAGGTCATACTACTATTACGCGCCGCGCGTGGCTTCCAGGATTTTCCTCATAACTGGAGGTGGCGGATGATGAGGGAGGCACGGTAAGGTTACGTTAGGAGACAACTGCTGGGAGGTCTTCGTCAGAAAGAGTACTTAAGGAGCATTAGGCCCCAGTGGGGGGCTGTCACGCCAGATCATGCCTGGGAGTAAGCGCGGGATTAAGCAGGATTGCGCGGTATGGCGCCGGATTCAGCGGGATTAGGCCGGATTAAGCCAAATTCTGGACCAGGGCAAGTCCGAATTTTACCTCCCAGGAGTTGCATCCGAAGTTAAGGAGGGGTGGGGAAGTCAGAGAAAGAGAGAAAACAAAAAGAAATAAAGAAATGAAGAACGAAAGAGAAAGAGAGAGAGAGAGAGGACAAAACAAAAAACGACACGTCTGGAGGGAACCTGACACGACCCATCCCACCCATCCCTTTCCACTGCGCTGAAACCATATTTTCGCCAGAGAACCTTGATCTCCCAGATGACCTCGCCGTGCGACGCGGAACGAGGCAAGCGGGGGCTTTGCACATTGGATGGGAAGAAGGAGGTTGAGGATGAGCAGGAGGCCGGACAGGAAAATGAACAGGAGGAGGGAGAGGATCATCAGGAGCAGGAGAAGGAGGGAAAGGCGGAGAAGGGAAAGGGAGGGGGACGGCAACGACGAGAACAGAGTCGGACCTAGAAGTGCTAGCCACGTTGGGGCGAGAGCGCACATCTGAACGCAAGGGCGCCCAGAAATGCGGCAAGGGCTTCGGCGGCAGCGCGCCCTGTAGGACCGAAAGCGCTCGATTCGGCGCAGCAGCTGCCGACACTGGAACAATCTGGATTGCAGACGTGCGCGAGCGAGGCGGCCCCGGCACTGGACAGCCTCCAGGGATGGAGGCGAGTACAGTCGGGGCGTTGACCTAAGGAACCCTAAATAAGGAACGAGGCCCCTTTTTTTCCATAAGTTAAACTTCGATTTCCGATCGAAAACATAAGGAAAACCTGAGGCAAGCTGTGAAACACTTAAGGAACGCAGAGCCCCTCCCCAACCAAAAGGGTTCCTTCTTCAGGGCCCCGACTGTAGTCTACCATTGCTTGATCGAGCCCTCGGACCACTCAGGACCGACGCCTTCGCTGGAGGTGTCGGGCGCCGCGCTGCGAGGCGGAGGAGGCTGGGCGGCCATGCGCCGGCTTGGGCGCTGGCGCGCGGCGGGCATGCCGTGCGGAAGCCGGGCAGCCCCTGGGGGAGCAGTTCTAAGCAGCCTCGATCTCATCCCTGTCCCCAAGATGGGCGAGCGACAGGCGAGGACAGTCTCAGGGATGTGCCCTCAGAAACGGAGGGAGTCCTCAAGATCGACATCGAGGCGAGGCGATGCCAAGCACAGGGATAAGTATATGTTTCAAACTGGTGAGGTTCGGGCGAGGTCTGGACCGTCGGAGGGGGCGACACCCGCTTGGGGAAGCTGGAGGTCATGCGGGAAAGTGGATGGGCCTGGGGAGCGCCAGGCGGACGTAAAGAGACGTTGGGAGGAGCGCCGCCACATTCCACGCTCTCCGCTCTCACGCGCCCTGCGCCCACGGCGGCCGCGGGCAATGGGCACACTTGCAGCCCGAAGCCGCACTCGGCTCGGACCTGGTGTGGCCACCGCAAGCTCGCGGGAGGCGCCAGCGGCCTTCGGGTGGGGGGGGGCGGAGAGCGCTGGAGGGGGAGACGCTTCAACTTTGGGGGGGGTTCGCCCCACCGCATCCTTTTGCACTTCCCTGATCTGGGCAACTCGCTGGGAATCGCTGCTGGATGGGCTGGTGGAGATACTTTTTGCTACGTGGGCGCGCGAAGACGAGGCGAACGCCGAGCAAGCTGGAACGGGCCGCGCCGAAGCAGGGGAAAAAAACAGCGAGCTGGTGGAGACACGCGAAGCGCCAAGCCTTGCCCCGAGGAGGAGGAGGAGGAGGAGGAGGAGGGGGTCTGGGTTGACAGCATCGAACCGGGAAAGCGAATCGGAACAAGCGGCGGATCGGACCGCCTCGGCACGGAGTCGAGCCCAAATCGAGTCGCCGACCATGGCGCTGAGGGGGGGCTCCAGGGTATCTCCGCGGGCCCCTCCCGGCTGAGGCTGGCCCCCGACGAAGGACGCCTCCTATAGGAGGGGCCAGAGCAGATGGGGCCGGAGGATCGCGTCGCACCGCCGATGCGTCACCGATGCATCGGCGATGCATCGGTGATGCACCGGCGACGCATCTCGGGCCGGGCGAAGGGGGGGGGATAGCAAAGGGGGGGGTTGAGAATCAGCTCACGAAGCTGATTTCCCCGGCGCCTCCCGGCGCCGGAGGCGGCCATGTATCGAGGAATGGGCCCCTCGGTGAGGCCGAAACCAGCTGCATACAGCAAATTTCGCCCCCCCCCCTTTCCCGATCCCCCCCTTTCGTCCGGCCCGAGCATCGTCGACGTCGGCGATGCGTCGGCGACGTCGACGATAAGCAAAACGGGCCGCAGTGGCGATGCATCGGCGACGCGGCGCGATCCTCGCCTTGGAGGCCTGGACCCGCGGCCCCCCCTCCGGCTAGGGCTCGGGGGCTGCAGGCTCCCCCGGCTCATGAGATGGGGGAGCCCCCGGCTCAGGTGTTACCCAATGATTTTTTTGAATGTTGTCAATATTTTTGAATGTTTGTTTGTCTATTTTTGAATATTGTCTGTCGTCTGTCGTCCGTCGTTCGTCCGTCGGTCGCGTCGTCTCTCCGATCCCTGCCGCTGGGCCCCTCCTTCCCAGACCCCCGACGTCATGATTTTTCATGACACGACCCCCAGAGGTGCGGACCCCTTCCCCGGGGCCGGCTTTTCATCCCGAAGCGTTCTTTCACGGCCCCGAGGGCCCGCAAAGAGGCCCCCAATGAGGCCGAAGATAGCGAGAACCCTCCACCGCGAGCGGGTCTGGGTAGGGAGCTCCGCAAGCCCCCCAGCAGAATTCGGGCTCCGGCCTAGGCCGGAGGGCTCCGGACCCTCTCCCGCTATAAGGCTCGGGGACTCCGCGGCGCCCCAGGCCCCCTTCTGCCCTGACCTTCCAGAGTGCTAAAAATCAGCCCTCCAGACCTATAGACCTATCTGGGCTGCCACCTCGACAGAAATTGAAATATCGAGGTCCTGGTGCTATTTTTTAGCCCTCCTTGAAGGTCAGGGTGGTGAACGCTGCTGGGGAGCTCTGGGCCCCCTTCAGCGAAGGCTCTGGCGGCTGAGGCTGGGGCGCCCAAGGTTGCGAGGTTCTGGGCCGTCCATGGGGCGCACAGAGACCATACCAGTACTACATGTACTCCTTGGAGGCGCGCGTCCGACCCGAACATACAGTGTACCGATCATGGTTTCCCGAGCGGTGTGGCCAGAAAGCCCCCGCCACGACGCATATACTATAAGATTTCTCGGATCGCGCGGCGCCCCTTGGGGGGCGACGCACACATAGTATAAGGTTGTTGGGGTGACGCCGAGTCCAGGCCATCGCGGGGGGGGCCCGAGGGCTCGTATGGCTGCGCCTGCGGGGCTCGCGTGGCCCAATCGCCCAGAGCTGGGGGGCCTCTGATAGGCCCGTCCGGCCACACTTCCAGGGGGATCGTGCGACCTCCGACCAGCACTCTCGGCGGAAGTAGGTTAGCGCGCTTCCTCATTCGACCCCTGGGTCTCGACGGATGGTCCAAGGTACACAACGTACAAGATGGCCCGGGATGTCTCCAAGAGTTCCCCCGAGGCCCCAAGACGGTTCAAAGTAGCCGAGGTTGGTTCCAGATAGCTTCCTGGATGCCTCCAACAGGCCCCAAGACCGCTCCAAGGCAACTCCAAATGGCCAAGAAGCCTCAACAGAAAACTTCAACAAAATCCCAGCGACCACGCCCATGCCCTGTTGAACTCCTCCATATCATTCCCACCTTCCCCATGCCTTCTTGAACTCCTCCATGTCATTCCAAACTTCCCCGTGTGTTTCTGAACTTCCGCATGTCTTTCCCATCTCCCCCGTGACAATCCAACCTTCCCACGTCCACTTGAGTGTTCCCGTGCGCCATCCAATCTTCCCATGGTCGCCAAACCTCCTCCCCTGCGCGCTCGCCACTTGTCGCCGCGCCCGCGCAACCTGCTACAACCCGACGCGGGCCACCGTCTTCGCCATGGTACAGTGGAGGCCAGTCCACAAGAAACCTTCCACAAGACGCCCAGCCCTGAGACCCCAGGACGTCCATTGATTTTTGGTGTGGCCACGTCACGCTCTCCATAGCGACACCAACCCAAGAAACCCAGGGCACCCTGGAGGCGAGCAGTTTCTTTCTTGACATGCCCCCCCCACTGTAAGCCAACTTCCCTCATGACCTTCCACACCTTGTTTGCGAATTTGGTACCAGTGTGGATCTAATCAAACTATTGCGTGTTCGGGCTCGAGCGCGCCCAAGACGGCCCCAGAGACCCCCCGAGATCGTCCCAGGACGGCTCAGAACAATCGCAAGGGGTCACCAATATGTCAAGGATAGCCTCCAAGGCGGCCCAAGATGGGCTCCGAGACGGTCCAAAATACCTGCCAAGATGGCCAAGATGGCCCAAAATCGGCCCAAGTCGGCCCAACATGGATCCCATACGGCCCCAAATGACCCAAATGCACGAGGGTCCCCAGGAAGGCCCCAAGGGACCTCCTGCTCCTCCTCCTCCTCCTCCTCCTCCTCCTTCCTGTGTTCCTCCTCCTACTCCTCTTCCCCCTCAGGGTCTCCACCACGGCTGAGGGAACTCAAAGTCCAATTTGTTGGCCAAACTTTGGCCCAACGTTTGGCCACATAGGCATTTCCAAAGAAAGGCATGGGGCGGCAATGACTCGCCGTAGAAATCTTCGATGGATCACGTAACGAATCCAATGATGCCGTGAACATCCAGGTTACACCCATGCCACAGAGGCAAGCGGATGCAAGACCCATGTTCACTGACGGCAGAACCAGGAGGGAGGACGATGCGGAGGATGAAACCGGATACAGGGGGACGGGGACGATTAGGAACAGGATGATGATAAGGATCATCAGGCTTGAAGTCATACCATGGGGGGAGAAGGAGAGGATGCGTCTGAGGAGGAACAACGAAGGGATGGAAGAGAATACAATGGATGAGGGAGGATCGGGGTGGGGGAGTGAGCTTTGAACAAAAAAAGAGACTCCCCACCGGGAAATCGGTTTCGGCTTCGGGTTCGTTCCGTGCGTGCAGGCGAGGCGAAATTACGTGCGCGGGCGAGGAGGAATGTCCCCGCCGCTTCTAAGGCGAAATCGAAGCAAATGTTTCTTCCCCGGCCAATTGGCAGATTTGGGACCGGGGTTGTCCCGCGATTGTCCTGTGGTTGTCCCGTGATGGTCCCGCGGTTGTTCCGTGATGGTCCCGATGGCTTTCTTGATTGTTGTCCCAAGTGTTGTCTTGTCAGATGGTTGTCCCGTTGGTTGTCCCGATGGTTGTCCCGACGATTTTCAAGATGGTTGTCCCGACGATTGCCCCGATGGTATACTGACCGGCTGTAAATGAATCGGTAGGCAGATCGTGAGCCATACAAGTATATACATATTTACAACTAGATCGACGTGTGTATTAACAGTGCCAAGGGCAGATCGATACTCACGGTACTGATTGCGACATGGTAGCGTCAATAGGTACATCGCAAGGCCGATGGATACTTACATCAACCACTCAAGTGGCAGCCAGGTCGAAATCAAAATCGTGAGATCGATTGGTGCACTGTGGGGTCGGCAGACGAATAATGCGTTGGTAGATGCTTGGAGGGCGAACAAGTAGGGAGATCGATTCTTCATCAATGTACACTTACATGTATATGTATGTATACCCACATGCGTCATGGCGAACGTACAACTCTAAGAACCTAAATCTCATCTACATGCAGACGGCGCATCAGAAGATGTTCGATGGACGGAGACGCTTATCCCGATGGTTGTCCCGTCCTTCGCTCTACCCCAGAGCCTCCTTATCGGCCTTTGGCCGCCCTGGGACGTGGTGGGCAGAGGCTCTGTCATCCGAGGCAAAGCGAGCTCCAGGCTCAGCCCCAGCGCGTCGGCCACGGAGACGACCATGCCGCGCTGCAGCTGCTCCGCGCACCTGCCAGGGAGAAACCTACGACGCGACGACTCGAACGGCGGAGATGCGCATGGTGGAGGCCGATCCTTCCTACGTTGAGGTCGGGCATGTCCTCCTGAAGGCGGATTCTGGCAGGAAAGTTGTTAGAAGAAAAAGCCAAGACAGATTCAAACACAGTCAAATCTAGTCGAAATATCTTCCCCAGACTATTTTTTCTCACGATTTCCTCCTGTGGAGGGACGTGCCCGACTTACTATTACGTTTGCGTTGTAATTCTCACCGGCCCATCAAGGGCGTGCGGCGGTTCGGGGGCGTCTTGACGGCAAGCTCCAGGAGGTGCGCCGGCTTCAGCCACTCCAGCCCCATCTTCTCCGCGAAGCGCCTGCACACCTGTCGGGACGGGGAGAAGGAGGATAAGGCGGATGGGGGACTCACGTTAGAAGCCCGAGCGAATCTCCAAAGGGATGACCGCCATCACCACAAGAAAGCCCAGGAGTGATGCTTCCAACCTGTTCCCCTCCTGCAGGTGTTCACAATCCTATTGCTCTTCGTTCTGCTCGTCGTCGTCGTCCCCCTGATCCTCCAATTCATCCTCGTTCCCTCCCCCATTCCATTTGCATGCAAAACCCCACATCATCGCACCAGAACGTGTCAGCACAAAAAGGGTGTATATGCGTTTCGTCTGATACCTCCGAACAACTTGGAATGTCGAACCCCTGCGCGTGTGGAAGACGCCCCGAATTGAACATGCATGTCTCGCCTCGAAACCGCGCGCGCTCGTCTTGACCAGTCCGACAACTACACGGATGGAGGGCGGCAGCGATTTGAAATTAAGTGTTCGGTTGCGACTTACGTGGGGATGATTCCCTACAGCTCCAGTTCCTAGCAACTGCACAGATGCAGGTTTCGTCGCGTCGCTACCCGCAGCCGCCTCGTAGCCGCATCGTTGCCGCCCACATGGGGCTCTGCCGAGGTTTCGCAGAGGTTTCGCCGCCCTGGGCCGCCTCGTGGCCACCTCGTTGCCGCCTACTTGGGAGGTCCGCCGAGGTTTTGCCGCGTCTCCACCTGTGGCCGCCAGTGGCCGCATCGTTGCCGCCCACTTGGGAGGTCCGCCGAGGTTTCGCCGCGTTTTATCCTGTGGCCGCCTCGGTGGCGCCCGCTTGGGAGGTCCGCAGATGTTTCGCCGCGTCGCCGCCCTGGGCCGCCTCGTGGCCACCTCGATGCCGCCCGCGTCACATGGGGGTCCGCCGAGGTTTCGCCGCGTCGCTGTCGTGGCCGCCTCGTCGCTGCACTTCAGAGTTCTGACCTGCGCCACCGAGGACTGTATGGGTCCGCCGAGGTTTCGCCGCGTCACCGCCCTTGGCTGCCTCGTGGCCGCTTCGCTGCTGACCACGTGGGAGTTCCGTCGAGGTTTCGCCGCGTTGCCGCCCATGGCCGCCTTGTGGCCGCCCACCTCGGGTTCCGCCAAGGTTTCGCCGCATATCTTGCACCACATAGCTTCGGCCACAACGCGTGCAACATGTGCCTCGCACGGCCACGGTGCAATGACTCGGGGCCACGCTGGCAAACCTTGCTTGAGCCGTTCGGGATTCAAGCGTTTCTCGTTTGAGACCATGCGCACGCATCGCGCGCGCTTCGGTTATAGTGAACTCCAGCCCTGGACAGGCACACAGCCGCATCCGCATGAGCACGCACATATGTAATGAGTTCTAACAGAAACAGCAAACAGACAGACCGAGCAGAGAGACGTACTACCGAGAAGCGCAGACCCATGCGAGGTCAGTGCGAAGCAATGCAAAACAGTGCGCGGCAATACATGCAAGCTAATGTAACGGCAGTGCAACCAACACGTTGACAGGGAACACCAAGGAACTGCCACACACCATAGTGAAAATCAGCGCACAACGTGGCAAACTAATTTCAAGAAGCTCAAATGCAAGGCAGTGGCATCTAGAGCAAATCAAAGTCACGAGACCAACACAAAACAGAACTATGTGAATAAAACGCGCCCGTTGGGGCTCTTTTGGGGCACTCGAGCTCTATCTTGCGACCCTTCACGGTAGGGCCCTTCTGATGGTCTATTGATATTCTGATCGGTTTATCCGAAGCATCTTTGGATCAATCTTCGACCAGAACCTTAAGAATTCTAGGAATGCCCCAAGTCTGAACAGTTCGTTGTTTTAAACTGGTGTGGATCAGCTGGGGGTCTGCTTGGGGCTCTCTTGTGGCCGTCTGCAAAGCATTTGGAGCCTCTGCGGCCACCTTGTGACCGTCTGCACAGCATTTAGAGCCTCTGCGACCATCCTCGCTGATCTTGATCATCAGTCGGGCGATCTGGGGCGCTTCTGGAGCTTCTGATGCACCCCACAGCGTGCTCAGACTATTCGGGGCCTGTCCCCAGAGCCTGGAGCAAGAGGCCCCAAGAGGCCTCAAGCGACCACGGGAATTATTGGCGCGGGCGGAACAGGGGTGAATTACTGCACCCCTTTCTCTTGATGCAGGCCTGAGCGAGACGGCCACAACCCGCACGCGCACCACGTGCACACGCTACAAACATCATGCGCACCACGCATGCAATGTTTGCTCCCTTCTCGGGGGCATGGTGAAAACATGTCCTGGCTTCCCCCCCAACGTTTCTTGCGGCCGTCATCGAGCCAGCCTCTTGGACGCATGGTGACCAGACCACCTTGGAACTATTTCGTGACCGTTGTGGAGCCGCCACGAAGGTACACGTACTCTGCAGGGGGTCGGCAACTGAGCGCTGGAGAGTACCGCAGGCGGCACCGCGAGGGCTCTCTCTTTCCGCTGTGCATGGCTGGAGGCGCGCGTGCGCGAGAGAGGGGCGAAGGGCCGCAGTCCCTCCCTCGGCCCTCAGGCCTTAGTCATGTCCCCCGTCTCCTCGAAAATGGTGCAAATCGTCCACAGCTTTGCCGCCGTGCGCTGGCCCGTGGCTGAACCTGCCAATGACGCTGGCCCCCTGCACTGCCACTCATGGGCATCTCTTGGGCCGCCTAGCGGCGAACTTTGAGGCCTCTTGTCCCGTCCTGGGCGCCCTGAGGGGCTGAAAGACACATACTCATGCGAAACGCAAACCAAAAATCAAAGGAAATTCGTTTGAAAGTTCTGAGGGGTGCTCCCTCCAGGCCACCCGGGCCCGTTGAGGGGGCTGCTGTGGCCGTCTTGAGCCGTCTTTGTAAATTTCCAACTGCCCTTGGCCCCTGCTGGGCCGCTCTTGTCACTTTCTCGCGCCTCCCAGGATTGTTCATACCGCGGGGGGGCTCAAAAAGGGGGGGGGGGTCGGGATATCCGGGAGGGTGTGCCAGCCCGGAGCCCTTGTTGCCCCCGTTGCCGACAGATTTCTGCTACACACAGCATGGATTCTGCAACGCCTGACGAAAGGCCGTCCGTCTCAACATGGCTCATCGACTGCCGGATGCTTCCTTACAGCTGGAGACGCAGTACCCTGAAATGTTCAGCATCAACACGCATGGAGGACGGCCAACGTTCGGAAACGGTACCCCCTCCCTGGCGCGAGGAGCGCGCCAGGTGTGGCGCTGGAGGCGCCTCCGGTGGGGCCCAGCGCGGATCCAAGACATCCGCGCAGAGCACCAACAGTTTCTTTGTATGGCATGTTTTCTTCTTCGATGGACAGAATCTATGGACCCTGAAATGTTCAGCATCTGAACTCAAAGGAGCCTGGAGCACCAACGTTCGGAAACGGTACGACTGGACGGGCGCTTCTCTCAGCACTCGCGCCTTCACCCTGGGGGCGCCCAGCCTCTGCTCGAGTCTCCTGCTGGCTGCACGCGCGGAGAGATGGCTGGCAGTCCGTGCCTTTTGTTCGCGGGCAAACAAAGAGTAGACGCGCTGCTCCGCACCTCAGAACGCCCCATTTCTCACCGTGCGCGTCTACGGGTCCTGCACCTTTCCGGCAAGCGGGATGTCGGCCGCAGCAAAACGAGGTACCTGGCCAAATTTACAAGTATTGGGCTTGGTGCAGCAGGCTCTACTGCGCAGCATCAGTGGCGTATGCTGGGTTTGCTCTGGTTCTTGCTCTTCCCCCTCTGATCTCTGATGGTGCATCCTCTCTCTGCCCTCTGCCCTCGAGCCTCGGTCTTGTAGTCGCCCGCTGCGTCGCACTGCCCGAGTACCCAAAGGGCAACCGGCGACGTGTGCGCGAGGCGCTGGAGTTAGGTCGGGCATGTCCTCCTACAGGCGGATTTTCGAGGAAAAATAAAAAAAGTAAAACAAACAAAACAATAGTCAAAACATCGTCCCCAGACTATGGTTTGACAATTTTTGAACATTCCTCCTGTAGAGGGACGGGCCCGACTTAACGCTGGAGATCGGCGGCGTCGTTGTCCAAAGTCTCCGTCTGCGGGGGCACGTGAGCCGTGAAGGCGGGGGGCGGGCCCGCTGGCTTGTCCTCGGGTCGGCCCTCCGCTCCTCCACTCGCGCTCCTCCTGCGTCCTCCTCCGCGTCGTCCGCGGCTTCTTCGATCCCCATCCTTTTCAATCCTCCCGCCTTTCCTCCTCCTCCTCCTCCTCCTCCTCCCCCTCCTCCTCCTCCTCCGCCTCCTCCTCCTCCTCCATTCCTTTTCGTTATAAGGAGCTTCTCCCTGTCGCAACCCGAGGCTAATTTTTAGGGGGGGGCGAGCGTTTCGCCTGAGACTTCCTCACTACTTATGACTCTGAAGCTTAAAGGTTTGAAACCGTTTTACACATGGAGGGCGGGTGGTTTTCAAACTGTGGCCCTCACCTTAGCGCGGCGCACATTCGTTTACAAACATTGAAACAAGAGTTTCACGGATTGAGGGCGGGTGGCTTTCAAGATGTGGTTCTCGTCTTAGCGCGGCGCGCATTCGTTAAAAAACAACTTGCAAGAGCTTCACGGATCGCGGGCGGGTCGTTTTCAAAATGTGGCTCTCGCCTAGACGCGGCGCACATTTGCAAGAGTTTTACGGATTGAGGGCGGTTCCTTTTTGAAACGTGGCCTTCGCCTTAGCGCCGCGCACATTCGTTTACAACATTTTCTCATCAACGTACCGGAAATGATTCAGGATTATGCGGGCGCAGCACTTACGTTGATTCTCTGTGTTGACGTCTTAAACATGGCGTTCTGGCGCGATTCAGGATCGTCAAAAAGTCACGGTCCGGTTAATTCGTGGCGTTGGAATCCCGAGTGTCAGGGTCTTCAAACGGGCGTCTGCCAGCAAGGCAGCTCCCCCAATGGAAATGAACCGTTGTAGGGGCCTACGAAGAGGAAGCTTGGAGGGAGGGTTTACTACTCCAGCATCTTTAATGACCCTTGGGTTTACACTGGTCCTTTTCCTCCTCCTCCTCCTCCTCCTTTTCTTCCTCCTCCTC